AATACCAAGAAGATTGCGTTTTATTATCATGGTTATAATATTGAGTCAAATAATAAGTTATATACATGTACAACATTGATCATTTCGTTACTACGACTTCGAAATTTCGTAATTCATTATTCAAAATACGCAGAGAGGTTCGGTTATTATACAGAACAATCTTTGTGAATTAATTTACTATGATTTCGATAGATACTGTAACATATGCATACTATACTCAACAAAACACTAAATATCAAATTTCTTTTTAGAAGATAAGCTCCAGCGGTAGGCAAAATATTGGAAACGATGTCGTTACAAATCATAAATAATTCATAAACGATAAACCTGACTTGTATCGACGAATAATAAACATAAGCGACTACCACTGATAACTATCAATACAAATTGTATATTGTATGATTAACAATACGTGAATTTTCTTATGTATGATGAAATGCAAATCATATATAATAAGTCCACAATGAGTTTCATTATAAAGCCGTGACATTTAAACTGCGGCTTACATAGATATTTGAAATTGGTGCACTTAAATTCCAGTATAGATGACACAACAAATATTCAAAAGATGATAGCAGGATCGAAGTTTTTGCAACATTATGTATGCTAAGGCCGTATAGACTGTACATATAGTATACGATAAATAGGAAAGGGGAACACAACTCCCGAATTCGTTACCGTATGCTAGATAACCGAATCAAGATAAAGGTATACATGTAATGCAATCAGGAGAACAACATAACTGAGTAACATAATTGGATCAGCTCTAAGCCTTAATGTGGCAAGAAGAGTGTAAAAGAAGGAGGACTCAATCTGCCTTTGACGGACTTTTTAAAATATTTCTGCAAAGCATGTTTTTAATATCACATTTATCATTTTTTTTCTATTTACAAAGATAATATTTAAAAACCTTGCTACTTGTACGTGATTATAGTGTTCCTCTTTTCATTTTACAACTTATTCAAACTCTGTGATTTAAATATTCTTAGATTATGAAATTAACATGTAATATACACTACGCACAACTCCATGCAATAAGTTGCTCATATAAATCATATTCTGCAATGAAGCACAATTTCTCTATCGTGCGTGGCTTGCGTTGGGAATGGCGTGATATAACATAATTCAGCATCAACAATTCAAGACGTTCTGTATCACATGTATATCTAAAACAGTAAACATACATGTTGGATACATTTTTAAAATAAATGATTAAGCCAAACAAATAATGTTGTACATGGTGTTCAATAGCGATGTTGAACAATCTGAAAGTAATATGAATAACATAAGTATACACAAGGAAAAAAACGCAAACTTTATGAGAAAACAAATCATTTTACCACGATGTGCGCTATAAAAAGAGTGTGTTTGCAAATTAATAAAACTGTTTAGTCAGATAGCTTAAGATTCAAGGCACAACTTCACTCGCATAAGCATGTGTACTATGAAAATTTACTGTGACTTTGACAATGAAACATGCGTCCCCGTTCAATATTTTTTATTTTCATGATCCAAAGTCATTTTTACACATTTAGACACAACGATAAACAATCATGTACTGCCATTTGCAGCCAGACAGGCGTTATATCTGTGCTAACGTCTTTGAAATTCTGGTTTCAAATGGGGGATATTTACAATATAATGGTATATTTACTTCTTATGTCCAATTTCTTCTAATCTCCGACGTCATTCGTTATATTTATATCATGTCGTTTAAATGTAACATCAGGCTCGACATAAATTTGAAAATAGAGAAAATAAAATCTGGAAAGAAATCACGTTCCAAATTAATATTTTCATGATTAACGATAAGGATATATTATGGGTATCATAGAACTTCAGAGTAATGTTCATCGTGCACATGTCAATCCTAGGAGTAACTCAAATTTATTCTAAAATGGGGGTCAGACATGGCTGGGTGATAGCAAGCTACTTAAAGATAATTTTGAGTTCTGGTCATGCGATTGCATTGTGAAAGAAACGATGTGGAATCGATCAAAACAGGATGACCATGTAGCATGTAAGTATTGGTGTGTACTTCAAGGTTCTGGAATCATCAAAATGGTAAGAAATTTGGTCCAGTCTTGGTAAAAGTAACAAGCATTCTACATAGAAAGATGTAAACGGGACTACACAAACATGTGGCATTAAAATGAGGTTCTCATTTTTAAGCTGTTATATGTCATATTTATAATATGAAGGCATTTGAAGAGCCATGCTTATCAGGGAACATTTTTTCTCTGATGTTCTTCCACACTTGCATAATAACAATGAAAACGCTCAGAAATTATTGTTCACCTCTTCCCAGAACTTAACCTTTTCTTTAAATGGTCTATGTCAAATGGCATGCTGATAAAAGGGAATGTCATCGATATTAAATATGTTCCCTCATTTATTGAAATATAGCAGACCATAGACTATTAAACAGAGCATACATACACATAACAACAATTTGAAAAGTAGGCCATTTTGATATTTTCCTTCAAATAAAAACATGCATGTTTGAATATTAGCAACGACTGTGAAATGGTAAATGTTTTGTACATTGTATACATTAATGAAATTCGAATTCGAACTATGATATTTGTTTGTATTTATTTGTAAATATTACACTATCTTTCAAACAAGAAAGTGACATCCCGTGTGAAGACTTTGTGTTTAGTACATTGTAACAAAGGCAAGGAGGTATATGAACAGGTACGTGAAGTGCCACACAGAAGGAAGCATGAATCGCCTACAAGCCCCTGACCCTGTATGAGATTCTATTTGGGGTGTGGGAGTGGTAACCGTAGGTACAGTATTGACAGTAAGGCTTGTAGTTTCTTTGCCGTGTGGCCACACGAAGTCATTGCACATTGTTTGACTTATATTCAAAGATACATCATGTGAGCAACAAGAGAACTGAGTGGTATGGGGTAGCAAAAATGTGCCACTGGTAATTAGCCCATTATCTGTAATGTCACCCGTGACGTCAATCTTCTGATCATTCTGGTAACATGATATCGTGGTTGTAACGCTTCCAGTGGTGGCTCGACAGTGTACTTCATAAGGATAATCAACATTTTCACTTAAAGTGATGAAGCATTTTGCTCGTCCGGGTGGGGTTTGGACAACAATCTCCTTCTCCATAGTTTCATGCCGAACGTCCTCAAAGCTATGCCAGGCTGCCGTTAATACGTACCTATCCTCGTCTAGAGTATCAACGTTATCTATCATTATATTAACGCATGGAGAAGTGTCTAAATCTGTGACCGGGGTTTTAAATCTTGACAATTGGGATGAGCTTTTAAAACCCTCGATATTAACTTCCCCGTTAATGCAGAATGGACTAGGTGTGGATTCAAATCGAAGTGTAAAATAACTTCGGAGTGTATTATTAGGGGACCATGGGAGATGGAACGGGACAACACCAGGTTTACCTGCTTGTAGAGTTACCCGCTCGGTGCTATCTCTGCCTGCTACTAGAACCGGACTTCCAGCAAGAATGATCGCCAAAGTGATAATTACCTGCAGGAATGTTTGTACGAATGCCAGGATTGAAGGACACCGTTCAACCGATTGTTGACGTTTGGTCTAAATCAAAAGGGTACGATTTTGAAAGAGAACGTTGATGAAATTTGACAAAAGTCACGGAATATCTCAATCAGCAAGCATCCGATGTGAATAAACTTTTTTTTAATGGGGGGGGGGCAACACCATTCAATGCTGGCATTCAATGTTCCACAAGGAATCAAGTGACATTTCTCAATATATGCGAAAGATTAAATTATATTAATTCCTTACCCCCTGAAATCGAATAGCAAATATAACGAGACAGAGAAAACCTGGGTTGATTATGAACGCCTTCCTGTACAAATCGTAAAGTTTACTCACTTCATTTAATTCACCATTAAAACTACTGATATTCGGTAGTGTTCTCATGTACGTTTTGTTTTGCACACATGCAGAATGATAATCCATTTTTATCTTAAGCTTAAGCTTGTTATTCTAATTCATATCTTTTACAGCAATTTGTTGATCAATAATAAATGGGAGAAATAATTATCTCTTACTGGCATTCAATGTTCCACAAGGAATCAAGTGACATTTCTCAATATATGCGAAAGATTAAATTATATTAATTCCTTACCCCCTGAAATCGAATAGCAAATATAACGAGACAGAGAAAACCTGGGTTGATTATGAACGCCTTCCTGTACAAATCGTAAAGTTTACTCACTTCATTTAATTCACCATTAAAACTACTGAAATTCGGTAGTGTTCTCATGTACGTTTTGTTTTGCACACATGCAGAATGATAATCCATTTTTATCTTAAGCTTAAGCTTGTTATTCTAATTCATATCTTTTACAGCAATTTGTTGATCAATAATAAATGGGAGAAATAATTATCTCTTACTCTGATTTTCCAAACTGGGTTTGAGGAGGTTCCATGGGTGGAGACAGGGTTTCCATCATACAACTTTTGGTGAACGACATCTGGTGGGTGTTTAGGGGAGCTGTTGGATTTAATTGTAGAAATAAATTAGCTGATGTAAAAAAAAGCCAATCGAATTGGGTCCCTAAAATCTCTGAAAGATAGACATGTATGTATGACTGTTGAAAAATAGACGTACATGTACATCGGAGAAAGCCCACATATGGCAAAGGAAAATTCTTAAATTTAAAATATTGACCCCAACAGTACCCTGTGTACCGCATCAGGTCTTGCTTCACATGATGTTAAGGATCAAGTCCAGGCAGGTAATAAATCTGAAAGTGCTATCATCCTGCCCAAAGGTGAAGTCATGCAGTTTACGTACATAAGGCTTTTTTCATCATAAACGATTTTTCATATACATAATGAAGAATATTTAAAATAATTCTAAATATCAATAAACATGAAAACTGTTTTTATTAATGATGCAAGTAATTGTGAACCGAAATATATGCACTAAATACATCTCGTTATACGAATAACAAGGCTTCCTCATAATAAAAGAAACGAAAAGTGAATAGTACCTCTCAATCTCTGATGGTTTGTTAATTGGTAGATCATCTCCAGCATTCATCAGTGAAGGAGATTCCTGAAGGGAAAATCAATTACATCATATAAAATTTCATATTAGAATGCTGTGAAATGATATGATCTAAGGAGACAGAATAGCGACAATTAGTTGTGGTCAGCACGGGTGCTTTAGGATGAATTAGACAAAACAACGAGAAAGTCGAATTTCAAAATTCAGGCATAGAATGATCGCCTTATTGTTTCTTACAACAAAAATAACTGACCATTGAGTATAATAGTATTGCATGTAATTTTTCATTCTCTATTTTTAGAATTTGAGTCCTTTTCTCATGCATAGGTGTGTTTGAAGCAAAACATATTACGGAATCTTGACTGTAGGGCTATGTACAAAAAAGTCATTAATTTTGCTTTCTACGAAGCTTTGTTTTTCATCTCTATGATTATTCTAGTATTGGCTGAATGGTTGCTTCCAAACATATCTGTATTTTCCATTATCTTTTCTATCCAAAGTTTCAATCAAATATATGGCATATGCCTTGTTTAGAGAAAACAAATAATAACCACTCACTCTAATTTTCCTGTTTTCGTCAATTAGTGAGTAACATCTGAATTCCGGTTCTTCAGACGGGTGACCGTCAGTCTCCATGGTTTGTAGATTGGGGGGATCGAATCCACGCGGGGAAGAACAGTCTGTGCCATTTGTTGTGGCGCGTCTTTTTCTTGTACCGGGGAACGTTATTGCCTTCATCTGATCTAGCAACGGATCTTGTTCACCTATGTCAGGATATTTCAGCTTAGCATGAATGAAAGGATTGTGCTCCTCATTGCCACCCTCTTTATCATCATGGGTCCTTGTGGGGAGACTCTTCAAGGAGGGTTCATCGGCTCCTCTATTCGCATTATCAGCTTTAGTGCAGTCATTCCCATCCTCTGCATTATCTACCTGAGATGCAAACTGTCCTGCACGTGAATGCTTGTCTGCATCCTTCATTGTCACTGTCACATATCCTCTTGTGATGATATTCTGGTGGCCTCCAGTACGTGGATCTCTTGTTTCTTCCTCATCTGGGTCACCTCTAGAGGGTGAGGTACCTTCTGATGTATGTGGATGGGTTGTGTTTGCTGCTGCTCCGACCGACGTCAGACCATCTATTTCCCTCACGTGCATGTCTGCTTCATTCAATGCGAGGTAATCGACTATGTCGTGGTGTCCTTCTTGTGCAGCGGCTTCGAGTGGTGTCCATCCATCATGATCTTGTTCATTGACATTAGCGTTGTGCCGAAGGAGAAATTTCACGATATCCATGTTGCCATTGTAACATGCTGCATGAAGAGGGGACTTGCCTCTTTCATTTCTTTCATTCATATCATATCCACTAGAGACAAGGAATTTCACCACATCAACATGGTCATACTGTGTTGCGATGTAAAGTAGGGTCAATCCTTCAAAACTGGTACCCAGGGCTCCTTTTGCCAAGAGAACTTTGATAACTTCTAGATGACCGTTTCTGACTGCAGCATGTAATGGCGTCCACCCATCGTTATCATTCTTGTCTGTATCAGAACATTGATGAATGAGATATTCCATGACTTTAATGTGGCCTCCATCAGCTGCACCGTGGAGAGGAATCATCCCGCCATCATCTTCTTCATTCACATCAGCTCCTTTGGAAACGAAGAATTTGACGATGTCTAGATGACCAGATTTTGCTGCAGCATAGAGTGGGGTCATCCCAGCATATCTGTTCTGCTTTGCATCTTTAGTCATGAGATGTTTCACGGCTTCTATGTGGCCCTCTTGAATGGCAGCATTGAATGGTGTCCATCCCTCGGCATCTGCTTTGTTAATATCAGATCCTTGCTGAATGAGATATTCCATGACTTTCAAGTGGCCTTTAGCAACTGAAACGTGGAGAGGAATCCTCCCGTTGTCATTTTCTTCGTTCACATCAGCTTCTTTGGAAATGAAGAATTTGACGATATCTAAATAACCAAATTGTGCTGCGACATAGAGTGGGGTCATCCCAGCATATCTGTTCTGCTTTACTTCTTTAGTCATGAGATATTTCACGGCTTTTATGTGGCCCTCTTGAACAGCAGCATTGAATGGTGTCCAACCCTTGGCATCTGCTTTGTTAACATCAGATCCTATCTGAATGAGATATTCCATGACTTTCAAGTGGCCTTTAGCAGCTGAAACGTGGAGAGGAATCCTCCCGTTGTCATTTTCTTCGTTCACATCAGCTCCTTTGGAAACGAAGAATTCTACGATATCTAAATGACCAAATTGTGCTGCGAAATAGAGTGGGGTCATCCCAGCATATCTGTTCTGCTTTGCTTCTTTAGTCATGAGATATTTCACGGCTTCTATGTGGCCCTCTACAACAGCAGCATTGAATGGTGTCCAACCCTCGGCATCTGCTTTGTTAACATCAGATCCTTGCTGAATGAGATATGCCATGATTTTCAAGTGGCCTCCAGCAGCTGCACCATGGAGAGGAATCATCCCGTCATCATCTTCTTCATTCACATCAGCTCCTTTGGAAACGAAGAATTTGATGATATCTAAATAACCAAATAGTGCTGCAGCATAGAGTGGGGTCATCCCAGCATATCTGTTCTGCTTTACTTCTTTAGTCATGAGATATTTCACGGCTTTTATGTGGCCCTCTTGAACAGCAGCATTGAATGGTGTCCAACCCTTGGCATCTGCTTTGTTAACATCAGATCCTATCTGAATGAGATATTCCATGACTTTCAAGTGGCCTTTAGCAGCTGAAACGTGGAGAGGAATCCTCCCGTTGTCATTTTCTTCGTTCACATCAGCTTCTTTGGAAATGAAGAATTTGACGATATCTAAATAACCAAATTGTGCTGCGACATAGAGTGGGGTCATCCCAGCATATCTGTTCTGCTTTGCTCCTTGAGTTATGAGATATTCGACAGCTTCAAGATGGCCCCCTTTAACAGCAGCATTGAATGATGTGCAACCCTCGGCATCTGCTTTGTTAACATCTGATCCTTGCTGAATGAGATATGCCATGACTTTCAAGTGGCCTCCAGCAGCTGCACCATGGAGAGGAATCATCCCGTCATCATCTTCTTCATTCACATCAGCTCCTTTGGAAACGAAGAATTCGATGATATCTAAATAACCAAATAGTGCTGCAGCATAGAGTGGGGTCATCCCAGCATATCTGTTCTGCTTTACTTCTTTAGTCATGAGATATTTCACGGCTTTTATGTGGCCCTCTTGAACAGCAGCATTGAATGGTGTCCAACCCTTGGCATCTGCTTTGTTAACATCAGATCCTATCTGAATGAGATATTCCATGACTTTCAAGTGGCCTTTAGCAGCTGAAACGTGGAGAGGAATCCTCCCGTTGTCATTTTCTTCATTCACATCAGCTCCTTTGGAAACGAAGAATTTGATGATATCTAAATAACCAAATAGTGCTGCAGCATAGAGTGGGGTCATCCCAGCATATCTGTTCTGCTTTGCTCCTTGAGTTATGAGATATTCGACAGCTTCAAGATGGCCCCCTTTAACAGCAGCATTGAATGGTGTGCAACCCTCGGCATCTACTTTGTTAACATCTGATCCTATCTGAATGAGATATTCTATGACTTTCAAGTGGCCTTTAGCAGCTGAAACGTGGAGAGGAATCCTCCCGTTGTCATCTTCTTCATTCACATCAGCTCCTTTGAAAAAGAAGAATTTGATGATATCTAAATAACCAAATTGTGCTGCAGCATAGAGTGGGGTCATCCCAGCATATCTGTTCTGCTTTACTTCTTTAGTCATGAGATATTTCACGGCTTTTATGTGGCCCTCTTGAACAGCAGCATTGAATGGTGTCCAACCCTTGGCATCTGCTTTGTTAACATCAGATCCTATCTGAATGAGATATTCCATGACTTTCAAGTGGCCTTTAGCAGCTGAAACGTGGAGAGGAATCCTCCCGTTGTCATTTTCTTCGTTCACATCAGCTTCTTTGGAAATGAAGAATTTGACGATATCTAAATAACCAAATTGTGCTGCGACATAGAGTGGGGTCATCCCAGCATATCTGTTCTGCTTTGCTCCTTGAGTTATGAGATATTCGACAGCTTCAAGATGGCCCCCTTTAACAGCAGCATTGAATGGTGTGCAACCCTCGGCATCTGCTTTGTTAACATCTGATCCTATCTGAATGAGATATGCCATGACTTTCAAGTGGCCTCCAGCAGCTGCACCATGGAGAGGAATCATCCCGTCATCATCTTCTTCATTCACATCAGCTCCTTTGGAAACGAAGAATTTGATGATATCTAAATAACCAAATAGTGCTGCAGCATAGAGTGGGGTCATCCCAGCATATCTGTTCTGCTTTGCTCCTTGAGTTATGAGATATTCGACAGCTTCAAGATGGCCCCCTTTAACAGCAGCATTGAATGGTGTGCAACCCTCGGCATCTGCTTTGTTAACATCTGATCCTTGCTGAATGAGATATTCCATGACTTTCAAGAGGCCTCCAGCAGCTGCTTGGTGGAGAGGAATCATCCCGTTGTTATTTTCTTCATTCACATCAGCTCCTTTGGAAATTAAGAAAGTGACGTTATCTAAATAACCAAATTGTGCTGCGACATAGAGTGGGGTCATCCCAGCATATCTGTTCTGCTTTGCTTCTTTAGTCATGAGATATTTCACGGCTTCTATGTGGCCCTCTTCAACAGCAGCATTGAATGGTGTCCAACCCTCGGCATCTGCTTTGTTAACATCAGATCCTTGCTGAATGAGATATGCCATGACTTTCAAGTGGCCTCCTTGAGCTGCACCGTGGAGAGGAATCCTCCCGTTGTCATTTTCTTCGTTCACATCAGCTTCTTTGGAAATGAGGAATTTGATGATATCTAAATAACCAAATTGTGCTGCAGCATAGAGTGGGGTCATCCCAGCATATCTGTTCTGCTTTACTTCTTTAGTCATGAGATATTTCACGGCTTCTTTGTGGCCCTCTTGAACAGCAGCATTGAATGGTGTCCAACCCTTGGCATCTGCTTTGTTAACATCAGATCCTTGCTGAATGAGATATTCCATGACTTTCAAGTGGCCTCCAGCAGCTGCTTGGTGGAGAGGAATCATCCCGTTGTTACTTTCTTCGTTCACATCAGCTCCTTTGGAAATTAAGAAAGTGACGTTATCTAAATAACCAAATTGTGCTGCGACATAGAGTGGGGTCATCCCAGCATATCTGTTCTGCTTTGCTTCTTTAGTCATGAGATATTTCACGGCTTCTATGTGGCCCTCTTCAACAGCAGCATTGAATGGTGTCCAACCCTCGGCATCTGCTTTGTTAACATCAGATCCTTGCTGAATGAGATATGCCATGACTTTCAAGTGGCCTCCTTGAGCTGAAACGTGGAGAGGAATCCTCCCGTTGTCATTTTCTTCGTTCACATCAGCTCCTTTGGAAATTAAGAAAGTGACGTTATCTAAATAACCAAATTGTGCTGCGACATAGAGTGGGGTCATCCCAGCATATCTGTTCTGCTTTGCTTCTTTAGTCATGAGATATTTCACGGCTTTTATGTGGCCCTCTTGAACAGCAGCATTGAATGGCGTCCAACCCTCGGCATCAGCCTTGTTCCTATTAGATCCTTGCTGGATGAGATATTCCATGACTTTCAAGTGGCCTCCAGCAGCTGCACCATGGAGAGGAATCATCCCGTCATCATCTTCTTCATTCACATCAGCTCCTTTGGAAACGAAGAATTCTACGATATCTAAATGACCAAATTCTGCTGCCGCAAAGAGTGGGGTCATCCCAGCATATCTGTTCTGCTTTGCTTGTCTAGTCATGAGATATTTCACGGCTTCTATGTGGCCCTCTTGAACAGCAGCATTGAATGGTGTCCAACCCTTGGCATCAGCTTTGTTAACATCAGATCCTATCTGAATGAGATATTCCATGACTTTCAAGTGGCCTTTAGCAGCTGAAACGTGGAGAGGAATCCTCCCGTTGTCATTTTCTTCGTTCACATCAGCTTCTTTGGAAATGAAGAATTTGACGATATCTAAATAACCAAATTGTGCTGCGACATAGAGTGGGGTCATCCCAGCATATCTGTTCTGCTTTGCTCCTTTAGTCATGAGATATTTCACGGCTTCTATGTGGCCCTCTTGAACAGCAGCATTGAATGGTGTCCAACCCTCGGCATCTGCTTTGTTAACATCAGATCCTTGATGAATGAGATATTCCATGACTTTCAAGTGGCCTCCAGCAGCTGCACCGTGGAGAGGAATCATCCCGTTATTATTTTCTTCGTTCACATCAGCTCTTTTGGAAATGAAGAATTTGACGATATCTAAATGACCCAATCGCGCCGCGACAAAGAGTGGGGTCATTCCATCACATCTGTTCTGCTTTGCTTCTTTAGTCATGAGATATTCCACGGCTTTTATATGGCCCTCTTGAACAGCAGCATTGAATGGCGTCCAACCCTCGGCATCAGCCTTGTTTCCATCAGATCCTTGCTGAATTAGATATTCCATGACTTTCAAGTGGCCTCCTTTAGCTGCACCATGAAGAGGAATCATTCCTTCTCCGTCTTCTTCATTTACATAAGTCCCTTTTGAAATAAAAAACTGGACGACTTCTAAGTGACCGTACCGTGCTGCCAAATATAGGGGTGTCTTGCCGCCATATCTGCTCGAATTGGCCCCTTGAGTTATGAAATATTTGACGGCTCCTAGATGGTCCTCTTGAACAGCAGCATTGAATGGCGTCCGCCCAGTGTTATCTTCCTGGTTCAAATCAGGTCCTTCTGCAATGAAGCTCTCTAAGATATAAACATAACCGTTTGCAGCCGCTGTATGAAGAGGTGTTTGACCCAGATCACACTCAACATTCACGTCCGCTCCCTGCAGAATGAGGAAGTCAACGATGTGTACATGTCCTTCTTGAGCCGCTGCATGAAGAGGACGGAGTCCACCCTTACTTGGTTTATTTGGGTTTGCCCCCCATGAAATGAGATCGTCAACATCTTCGATATGACCTTCTGAAGCAGCCTTGTAAAGCGGTGTGTATCCTTCTTCATCCATCTTGTCAGGGTTGAATGGTAGCTCTAGTTTGGAAGCACTAACATCGCTCAGTGATGCTTCATTTAGTGTGGTATACATTGCATACGAAGCATCATTCGTACCAGTCTCTAAGATGTCCTTGATATCTCGTTGCTGCAGAGGAGATGTGCGTTCTTCCATTAGGACGCACTTGTCATCAGCGGATGCGTCGGTATTCAAATTAACAAGAGCGCTGTGTGACAGCTCATTATGTTCATTCTCTATATCTGCACCCGGTTGTAGTGATGTAGGCGTATTAGACAGTGCACTAGATCTATTTGTATGCTCTTTTTGTGCTTCATTGTTTTCAGTTTTCAAAGCACCGTGTGTATGGTGTGATGGCATGTTTTGCATCGGTGTGATCAGCGGTATACCAGTTCCTTTGGTCCTATAACAAAAGGCATAATTCAATTGTTGTACTCTAAATGATCTTATGGAATCTAAACTCTAAAACTGTTAAACCCTTTACGTCATTTGATTTATACCATCTTCGGAGAAAGAGAGAAAGGGAGAGGTGGGTGGGGATTAATTTGTTTCATATATGGGATGTAACATTTAAAGTATATTGCCGCATATTGATACATTATTAACTGTTCATGTATCTGCCAGATTAGAGCATAGTTATTTCTTTTCAAAGTAAGTCGAAAGCAAGTTAATGCATTTGTAGATATCATTTCGTAAGGGATAATGTGAGATTTAAAAAAAAAAATGTAATATTAAAATGGTAAAATAAAGGCGAATTCAGTCTTATCATTAATAAATGGCGTAATGAATAACAAAGAAAATCACAATAGGTTTTTCATCAAATCGGTTTGTGTGCATCATGAAATCAAACGTTTTAGGGGGTTTCGTAAACATGCATTCAACTGAGCGGATAGTTTTTTTTTTTAAAGAATGAAGCCTCATGAAGAAGTGAATGGATCATACTAACTTTTTCCAAGAGGAGGACAAAATTAATATAAAGGTTTTAGTACTGAAATGGAAAATCGACTGTTTAGCTAAAATGAATTCCATTTTGGACAAGCGTGTCATGACTAGTTGCAATAACTATCCAAGTAAAATGAATGGTTACAGACAGTGGTGGTTCAAATCAAAGGTTTTCAAGTCTGATGTCCATGGAGATAAATAAAATGTCAAGGCATGAACATACATACATCTGATATGATCGCGTTTTTCGTTCTAATTTTTTTCTCATAACATAATAGTTTTCTTATTCGAAATCTCGCTCCTCATTCACCTCTTGTCTCCTTTTTTTTCTCTCTCTCTCTCTCTCTCTCTCTCACTCTCTTTCTCATTCTCTATATTTTGATGAGCACTCTTCTTGATTTGTTTATCGTTTTCATTTTTATCATCTCTAAAAATTGTCCATATTTTGTGAATGAGCAAAGATAGTACATTAAGTTCTTGCTCATGTAGATAACGATTTTTCCATTTATTCACTGATAAATACACGAGCGATACGATTCACGTTAGTGTAATTTCCCGAATATAGCTCGTTATAATCATGAATAACACATATTTCTTGGCATACCACAACCTTGGGATACGCTTTGCTGGTGTTTATATGTGAAGATGATAATTGATAACAAAACAAACTCACATTTTCCGTCCCTGAATTCCTACGTCACTTTCAGCGTCTTGAAAAAGACTTTTTTCATTTTCAGTCTCTTGTTCAAACCCGCCAGATTCATCAGTATCCTGAACAAAAATAAACAAAACCAAATTTCATCACAGTTAATGAATCATAATTTCACAGGGATTTATCTTTTCAATGATTAATCGTTTTTACATATGACACTGAAAATTTGGAAACAATATGACATCACCTGAAACAAATTCATACATTATTGTACGCTAATTCATGCTGTTACCACGTTTAAACTATGGAAGCTGGTGCGTCGAGCAATTTCGGTCAAAAATCAAAGCCGCTAGAGGCTGTTGAGCGGTTATCGCCTGGTCGCCGCTGGGAGATCAGTCGATCACTAATCGGCGAGTTCAAAATCGGTCGGCAGCCTTTGACCTAGCGGCTTTGATTTTTGACCTAAATCGCTCGACGGCGAACGCTCGGGCACCTAGTGTATTTTGGTGCTCCGCCGATCATAGGCCGGCCGCCGGGCAATTTCTTTAAAATCAGTCGGTCTAATTTAATTTATTGTGGGGTTTTTTTTCTGTTTGTTTAGGTGTTATGTTTTTGGTTTGCTTTTGTTATTGTAATAGTTTTTCATTTTAAATAATTGATAATAAATATTGTATGATTCAAATAGTCCTATTTTAAAAGATATATGTTTAATTTCACATGTATGTACAACTTTGTACTGTTGTATTATTATACTTATGTTTTTATACTGTCATTGTATTATGCAGGGCTTTCTTGAAAAGCAGATCCACTGGCTTCAAGTGGGACTGAACGAAACTACCCTGTTAAAAGAAATCATGAATACATAAAATAAATAAATATTTCTATAACAAAGTTTGTTGATGGTTAAACCACTTATCCTATAAATACATTTAGAACAAAGGTATACAACCACCATATCTTTCTATTTGGTGAATTTTTGTACAGGACAACTAGTTGGGGTGCACGCGTAATTAATCATAAAGCAGCCTTATTGGCCCGTATTCTGAATTCAGGTTTAACTTTAAACCTAGGTTTACGTCTAGTTTAAGTCTCGCCTAACTCTCAGATTTAAACCTAGGTTTAAAATTGCGTTTCTGAAGTCAGGTTTAACTTAAACCTAGGTTTAAGCCTGGTCTAACTTTGTGGAAATTGTACACATATTTAAACCTGGGGTACACCTAGTTTAAGTCAGGTCTAACTATTTGTTGCAAATTCAGAGAAGAAGAAGACACCATTAAAAGGCATTACAACGAATTATTGGAAATAGTGAGACCGGGGAGACCTCTTGTGGAAAAAAACCAAACCTTTCACATTCATGGCGACGATGATTTGTTTTGCATCGCTGTTGTTTTTTAAATACCAAACAAACTGCGATTTGCACTTGCTAGCCAGCTGACTCCAACACTAGAGACAAACACATCGCCGTGCGGATGAAAGTCGGCCTTGCGATTTTATACCTTCGCCAAGTTTGAACATTAATTTGGATACTTCATTTGCTTATTGAATCTTTATGCCTAATATTTTCTAAGTCTTAAAATTTTATATGTTATATAAGATTGTGTGATTTGTATAGTACGACAATTCTTAAAACTAAAAAGTTACCAAAGTAAATCAACACGTATCACTTTGTTGCAGAGGAAAACAAATATAGTAGCCCCATACCTTTAGTTTGACGTTATGCTCACGTATTTGAAACTGTGAGTGTAATACACGTTTTCGAATTGCGTCCCAACGATGTAAACAAATGCGAGTTAAAATAAACTTGTAAGGTTGGATTAGGCCTAGAATTAGGAGTAAATTAAAGGGGAAGTCCACCCTGAAATTAAGTTAGTTTTAATAGGAGTAGAAAAATGAGAGAAACAAGTCGGTGAAAGTTAGGATTTTTTAAGTTGTGATCAATCAAACACAAATTGGCAACTCTATGACGTATCATGCGAGCTCAACTTGCATTTGCTCAGTACTAAAAAAATCTAAAATTTTCATTTTCCCTCAAGAAAAATTTCAACCATACATGCACCCTAAATATAATAATTGCAAATATGTTTCTATACTTCCCCTGCAAGGAACAAATATATATTCCGTCATCAATAACGAAGAAAACATGATTTTATGGAATATTATGCACAAAGCAAATGAAGGAGAGCTCGTATAATAAGTCACAGAGTTGCCAATTTGTATTTGATTGATCACAACTTCAATAATTCATAACTTTCTTATTTTCATTCAGAATTTGCTCAAACTTTCACTCACCTGATTTTCTTATTATTCTGCCTCTATTGAAACAAACTTATTTTTGGGGTGGACTTTCCCTTTAATGTAGAGCTAAATCTATATTTATGAGACAATCATGGATTAATTAAGAGCCAACGAGCGTATTACTTTTAAGCCGGAACTTTAGTATAGTTTTGGGTAATTCTACAATTTCTGCCCATATCAAATAAAAAATAAACTAGGGTCTAGATCTAGTCTAGACCCTAGGCCTATGAGTATGATTAGGCGCGCCTAGTCTATTAATATTATGATGTCAAAACATCCAGAACATCCTAAAGATGCACTAGATTCTAGATCTAGACCTAAATAAGATTAAAATGACTAAAAGAGAAATGATTAACAATATCTTGATGCAGAATAACTAGTCCAAAGTCAACATTGAAGCTCATATGGTCGAGTTTTAAGCTTTTTTTTTTACGAACAATGCAATACATTTTCTAACCGTGTGTACGAATGAATGCGCGCATGGTACGATCGAATGATATGCGCGCTTGGCCGGTGACCAAAAAGGGGATCGTGATACACGACACGTCGGTTCAAAAAAGGATTGCATTGTCCTAATAAAAATCTACTAAAAATCAAGTAAATAAGCTTCAGCAATGTTGACTTTGGACTAGTAATTCTGCATCAAGAAGTTATTTTTGACCATTTTTAGTTTCTCTTTTAGTAATCTAGACTAAATCTTATTTAGAGAATCTAAAGCATTTTTAAGATGTTCTGGAAGTTTTGACTAATCTGGGCAAAAAATTGTAGAATTACCGATTTTTTTAATGATTATTTATTTATTCGTAAGGATCAATTCCACCTCGATTCAGACTTTTTCAGCAGTTTAACAATAAATCAAAGGGTAAAACAAAACAAAAAAATCATGCCATAACGTTCAACGGTTGCTTCGAAAGAGATTTGTTTGTGTCGAATATTTTCAATTGAAATTATTAAATTTGCAGCACGAAATCCAGCTATGAAACAGCCTATATCAGCGCAGCTACCCTGGAAGATGGGTGAGCTGTACTGAGCATGTGCAGTAGAAGCAGACTACATCTCCATGGTAGTTAAACCTTAGCTTAACTTTAAACCTGGGTTTTAGACTTAAACCTGGGTTTTAGACTTAAACCTGGGTTTAACTAAACCTGGCTTTCAGAAACTGAAATGATACTTAGACCTGAAGTCTGGCTTAGTTATACCCGGGTTTAAAGTTACACCTGGGCTTAACTAAACTTGACTTCAGAATACGGGCCACTGAGTTTAACTGGAAAACGGTGCTCCATTATAAATTTTACTTTATAAATGACAACGGAATTAAGCAGTTTAATTTTAAATATATTCATAGAATATTGCCCAGTAGAGACAATTTATGTAAATGGAAGATTAAAAATGATAATCTAGGTGATATATGTAAGATTCCAGATACAACTAACCACATTCTCCTGGCTTGCAAGAAGGTTTCGCTTTTTTTTAAAAGATTGTATCAAAATTAATCGAAACTTTGTTTAATTTTAAAATCTTTTTGAACGAAGAAATTCCTTTAATAGGTTATGAAATAGAGAGAAGTGAAATGAATCTTGTCAATCTTATTTTAAACTGCGCTCAGTTTATTATCTATAGAAACTATATTAGAGAATGTTTTGGAAGTGAAAAGCACAGGATACATGCTGCATATTTGATTAAAGAATTAAAGGTGTAAATCTCAATATGAAATGTAATTAAAAGAAATTCGATACAAACGAAGTTACACAAAGGTTTTCATTATTTTGGTTAGTGATTATGTCACATTAGTCTGTTAGTTTCATGTTCTGTACTATGTATGATATATCACAACTGCATGAATTCTGTATTCAAACCCTGTTGTAAATAGCTGTTATTTTATTATATGAACAAATAAAGTCCCTCGAAAGAGGATAAATAGAAGGAAAAAATAATAATTTTGTATGACGTTACTTAAGCCACTTAAATATTACAGTGGAATTTCCCTATAGATTGCGGCTCATAAGCCATGTCCGGCTCGTCAGACGATTTGATACGGCGACAACAAGATTTAACAAGTCGTTTTGGTACGAATAGAAGTAGATAAAAATAGATCCTTACTGACTGTGAACATTAACTAAATCAAATATTCTATTTGGTGGCTCACTGACCATTTAATTTGCAATCATATTATAACAGGTACCGGAACAAAACACAAGAGACCAGCCATAACGGTTTCGCAGGCCTTCTGACAACTGTTTAAAAGGTCCAATAGACCGACGGCCTACGAGGCCGAAAGCCCGCAGGATTCGTGTACCCTATTTCATGAATTTCTTTCGGTTTCATGAACTGTTGGTCTCGAGTGCCGAGGATCTAGTAGACTTTTGTCCTTTTTTATATTTTGTTATGCATTTCTATCTTTTCACGATCTCGTGGGCAGTCGGTCTAGAGATACAAGTGGGTTGTCGATCAACTCGGACGACATAATAGATCTCAGATTTTACATTCTTGTTCAGGAAATTCGCAGTTTGATGATTGATATTTATTTCAAAAGTTCTGTTGGCAAATTTGAGTGGGAGATATTCTTTGTGAATGCATTGGAACATCAGGAGTGAGAAAGTCAAGTTTAAGAACCTAATAGTTATTCCTGAAATATATAAGTAGATATAATATTATTTCCTTTAGACCTTAATGAGTAAACCTTTTAAAATGCCTAAGCATATTAAACAATACATTTTGCTTACCTCGACTCCATCTGTTACTGTTGATTCTGGACCCATCTCCACGCCATTAGTGTTCACCCCCGTATTGGAATCACCCTGGAGCAAGTGAAATGTAAAGATATTCATCAGAAAGGGGGTCACAAGGCATCAATCTTTGAGCCACGGTCAATTCTGTGTCGTATAAAGTGTGTACTTCTTATAATTGTTTGATGTAAATTAATTTATGATATATACGATAAGAACTAAAAAATAAAATCGAACACTCTTTAATTTGTTGAAACTTTCAAGAAGATAACGTCATAGGTCAACAAGATGGAACTTTAAAGCCATATACAAAATGTACATAAACAATTCAAATGGGAAAAAAGAATAGGCGTAGAATTTGATGATTTCATACAAGAAGAAGCTGATTGTTGCTCTAAATTACGTTCCTATGTATTGGATACCAGGAGGTTGACAGGTATAACTGGTTGTGCCACTCTGAGGATCTATTTGCCAAATACACATCACATACACAGAATACTATAATTATTTTAGATGCCTTTCAAACGGAAGAGATCTTGGACACGTCTGTTCAGGCAACAAATTACTTGGCAACTTCGAGTAAAAACTCTGTTGCAGGTGTAAAGTATAAGGCGGAGCAATTGCTGGATGTCTGCAAATCGAATTCAATTTATTTAAGCACCCCAATGTGCTGTTTTAATTTATGTTGAATTATTTTTTCAGTTCATTTTTATCCCAGGTTTAACAGAACCAATTTAACCACCCCTGTAATTAGATTTGTAAAATGTCTACCTGAAACATTTCCGTGTATTGTGACATGAAGTATGACGTGGCTTTGGATTGCAAGTTTGAACTTGAAGGTTTGAAGCTCACAATTACAATCTAAAACAAGGTTGCAACATTGATTGTACAGGAAACGTTTAATAAGCATACATTTTGTCGGATACCTTAAGTGCCTGGCTGAGGTTAATATTACCATGGATGAAGTTACATTGCAGTGCAACCTGGATAACCATCTCGTTGCCCGAAACAGAAGGGTCGATCACGATATAATCAAAGTAAAAAGGCAGGGCATTGTTGCAGCAACATTAGAACCCCGAAAATCCAATAATTTGTATTCCAAATTCCTTGTGGCGTGCAAGCTATCAAGTGATCATGTGGAGAACCCCGAGATAGCAAGCATCACAAAATCTTGGCAGGGTACGAACGGTTAAGATGAACATTCGACTATAATCTTGATAGGAGTGCCTATTGCAATTTGATGTTGCTTGTTGTTCTGCCTAATCTTAACTATCTGGGCATGACAAAACAACAGCAGTCTGCAGGATTTTTGAGATACGCCCATCTGGCAATGGCAAAGTAGTATAATCTGTCGTAGGTAATATCAGAGGTAGACTACTTCAGGGCAAATATGGCAAAATCAGGGGACTATTAATATTAAGGCCTGGAACAGATATTTAAGCAAGACCTCAGGCGGAACATTCCTATACCTATTAACATCGTCTTGTAATCAGCACCTTTTTCCTCCGTGCCAATACCATCTTGTGATCCCATATTTATATTTTGTATAGAGTATCATTTGAAGCCAAGAAAAAAAAATCGAAACAAAGCAAACGCACATAAAACATATTTTCTGTTAGTGACGATTTCTGACTTTTTTTGGAAATACATTTTGTTGTATCTTTTTCGAGGTAGATGCGAAATCATGACTTGAATATTTAATTTTTGGATAGTATTGATTTAAGTCTTATAATGATATTAATTATGTTTTTCTTATTTTCTTTATCAATGGTTTCAGTCTTGCAGATATACTCATGCATCAGTGGAACATAATGCAGTATACTGCTGAAATAGTAAGCATGAACGGTATTTAAGAGGGATAATTGAGCTAAGTTAATCTTATACTCTAGAAAACTGAATATCATTACATAAAGTAATGAATTATATGGGGAATGTATGGGTGAATGTGTGTGTGTGTGTGTGCGTGTGTGTACGTGTGTGTGCGTGTGTGTGTGCGCGCGAGTATGTTTGCGTTTTTGCGTGTAAATAAATAAAACTCCTTGTAATGATCAGTTCCATAAACATGACATTCTTGTGACTGTAATTGTCAAAGAGTTCGGTCCTGAGACACAATTGATCATGTATGATTGGTACACGTCTGTAAAACCCAATTCCATGCTCCTACATAATATTCACACACACATGCACACAAACCTACACCAAACCCTTTCGTATTATTTTTCAATGATATGAAGGCTGGATCTCGAGTAAGGGAAGCATAACACATTGAAATTATATTGTTACGTTGTTTACATAATTATGACCAATGGTAGAGATCTGTGGAGCGTGGGTACAAAATATGCCCTCGTAAAATACATTCTGTAGAGGATAATTTCAATGGAAGCTTGTCTGACATTATTTTTTTGATCGAAGTTGGCCGTTGTTCCAACTCTTCGACAATTTTTGTGTTGCGCTTGTTAATTTCGAATGAACTTAAATGAATTAGGTGGCCTAAACTGGCTTAATGTTGCAGTATTCGTCTCTCTCTCTCTCTCTCTCTCTCTCTCTCTTTCTCTCTCTCTCCCTCTCTCTCTCTCTCTCTCTTTGTTTGTCGGTCTCTCTGCCTTCCTCTCCCTCTCTCTCTCTCTCTCTCTCTCTCTATTTATCTCTGTGTATTATGATGATCAAAGATTAAGGCCCGAATTCACAAAGGAGGCGTTTTTACGCGTTTTTTTTTACAAACCTGGTTTGTAAAAACGCGTCGAAACGCGTCATATGACGCACGAAAACCAAGGTTTGTCGACAAACCTCCTTTGTGAATGTCGGGCCTATGAGGGCAAATTAGCCTCAAGTAAGGTGGGTAACAGAAACAAGAAAGAGAAAGCCGAGAACTCGGGGAAAACCGAGAACATGCGGACAAAGAATGTGGAAGTTGCAAACCCATAAACATCTATTGATATGGAGCTACTCCTATTGAAGAGTCGGTCACGGTGGGTGATGTTTTTTCGGCACACCTTCTCGATTCTTTTGTAACAACTAATATTCCTCCTTTTTTGAATTTTTATTGGAAAGGGGAAGATTTCGTTTGAAATTCTATAACGCAGTAGATGTATATATGACATTACTAATCAGATCATAAACAGTAAGAATACCTTTGTATCTTTCCTGTTTTTAAATGTCTTTTTGCCATCAAATTGAATGTTATGTGTTTTCTCCCTCCTCAACTTTAAGTAATATTATTATACGCCTCCCAAACTTAAACGGGTTCCCCTTTTTCTTCTCATTGTTTTTTTTTTGTCAAAAAACATGGGTGAAAAACATTTCCCTGTAAAATAATTTATGAAAAGAGAATGTCAATGGAAGTTTGTTCGACATTGTGTTTCGATCAATGCTGGTCATTGTTACAACTTTTTAGACATAGTCTTTTGCGCTTGTGCATTGATTTCTGAGATTGAACAGCTATGCATGTACCATCTATTTAAAGGGAAATCCAACCCAATTGGATATCTACTCTAAACGAAAGCAGACAAATCAGAGAAGCAAACTGATGAAAGTTTCAATTAAATCTGAATAAATATAAGAAAGTTATGCATTTTTGAAAGTTGTAATCACTATACGTAGGGGCACTTCAAATTGGCTGAAGCGGTAATGTCAATGTGATGTAGTGCCGGACTACTTTCCTATCTGTTCCAACATATAAAATGACTAAAAATTTAATGTTTCAACAGATAATGGCTCAGAGGGGTCTATTCTTATTAGGGGACCTATAATAATATATAATAATTATATAATAAAATATATTTTAAGTAGTGCCCCAAGGGTGAAGGAACTTACGAGAAAAACAGAAATTGGAGATATTTTTGTAGACGGAAATGGGAGAGTAATCCACGCCCTACGTCACAATCCATTGACCAAACCACCAATTTGAGATTCGTATAGACTTAGTGATCTCGAATTTCTAACATTCTTAACTTTCTTACTATTGATCCGATTTTATTCCAAACTATTGCCATTTGGTTTCTGTTATTTTTCTGCTTTCATTCAAATCAATTAATTACAAGGGTTGGATTGCCCTTTAATTATAATAGAATTGTTGTCCCAAAAAGTTTAGATGAAGTAAAACCACCGAACCTTAGATTCAGAATTTAAATAAAAGAGTGTTAAAATATATTACTTCATTTTCTTAATTCCCACCACCATTGAATTAATTAAGTGATGCGCATGTGACAATTACATGTATTCATTTCTTCTCCTATGTGACTCTATTTTGCCTTATTCTGATATCTCAAACATCACAATTTGTTATTTATCTTATTTTCCTGCTTTTATACAATTGAACTTATTACAAGGGCTGAATTGCCCTTTAAACTTGCTGAGTTATATTTTGCCACAAGTTTTAGTATTGGCCTGCTATTCATTTCATTAAGAAAAAGAATATATTTTATAAACGATTTCGTTTTAAGCCAACGTGTGTGAATGAAGCAATATATAAGAAATATCGTAATAAGTTAAATACGCTTCTACGTTTTGCTAAAAGAAAATATTTTCATGAAAAATTTGACAAATTCAAAGGAAATTTAAAGAAAACGTGGCAATTTTTAAACGAAATTCTAGGTAGAAACAAAACATCAAAGGCCAATGGAATTATTCACCAAGATATCAAGGTAGAAGATCCGTTTGATGTGGCAAATATATTTAATGATTTTTTTTTGTGACTGTAGGAGATAGCCTTACACGATCTTTACCAAGTTTAAGTGCAAAATTCTCTGACTTTATGCCTCAAATGTCTGAAAAATCTTTGTTTTTTAACCCTATTACCGAACATGAAGTTGTTGATGTTATAAAGAATATTAGTTTCGGAAAGAGCCCTGGATACGATAACATATCTCCTGATATTCTTAAACCTAGTGTATATTTCATTATTAAACCCTTGACTCACATATGTAATCTATCTATACAAACCGGCGTCTTTCCTGATAAGATGAAAAAAAAAAAAAAGTTATTCCTATTTATAAGAAGGGTGGTAAATTTGACTGTAATAATTACAGACCAATATCTGTTTTGCCATTGTTTTCTAAAGTTCTCGAAAGACTCGTATATAATAGATTGTATAATTTTTGGTATCATTAATAATTTGCTAAGTCCTAACCAATATGGTTTTAGGAAGAACTGTTCAACTGAATTTGCATTGATTAAACTTTATGACCATATTCTTAAATGCATTAATACAAACAAACATGCAATCACTATTTTCATGGATCTATCGAAGGCGTTCGATACTCTCTCACACTCAATACTGTTATCTAAGTTATCATTTTATGGAATAAGAGGCTTACCACATTCTTGGTTTTGTAGTTATTTAAGAAATAGGAAACAGTTTACTGTATATGATGGTCAATCATCAAATTCTAAAATGATTTCATCCGGTGTTTCTTAGGGGAGTATACTCGGCCCACTTTTATTTTTTAATATATATTAATGACATAGTAAACTGTTCAGATTTCTTTAAATTTGTCTTATTTGCTGATGATACGTCACTGATAGCCTCTGATGTAAATTTTAATTCATTAGTCCGTAAGATTAATATAAACCTGGACCATGTGTATAATTGGCTTGTTTGTAATAGATTGTCGTTAAATATTTTGAAAACTAAATTTGTAATTTTCAGGAATAAACAAAATAAAAGACTCGACTACTCTGACGTAAAACTGTTACTAAACGGGTCTGAGTTGAAAAAAATGTTCTACTTTTACATACTTAGGCGTACAGTTGAGATGAATTTTTAACATTGGACTCTCACATTAATATAACTTGTAGTAAGATATCAAAAATTACTGGGATAATGAATAATGTGAAATGTATATTACCACCTAAACTGCTATTTACCATGTATAATACTTTTATTTTACCTCATGTTATGTATTGAAATGTGGTATGGGCTTCATTACATGCATCTAAATTATCACGAATACATCGTCTTCAAAAAAGAGCACTTCGAATTTGTGCCAATGCTCAT